ACTATAGGCTTTTAATGACAAAAGAAGATTGGAAAGTCTCTTATCCATATATGAGCTTTGACTCCTCAAGAYAGGGCTGTTGCTATATACTGTAGATTAATCATCACTTTTTTCTAGACATGTCAAGAGACCAGTCCTAGAAAGCCAATGTTGACAAGGCTGAAAAATGGACTCTAATTAATAGTGCTGCCACATTATTCTCAGTACCAGACTCAGAGAAAAGAAAAAGCCACTTTAAGGGAAAAAAGTCAACATATAACTTCTCCATTTCCATAATGAGCATCTCTCTGCATTTGAGAGGCAAAATACCCAGTGCCACCATTTCCTCAGTACTGTTACCCTATTGCACTCCTAGGGAKATGGTAGCTGGAGGATAAGAAATCCTAATATACAGCTAAAAACCCCTCTTTGGTACCATTCAGGTCACTGCCAAATAAATTAATGGCAATAAAAATCAGGTAAGAATAAAAACAGGTAATAAAAACAGTATTCAAAGATGAGCTCACCAACACGAGCCCAATCGTACCATGAAACCAGGTACTATTTGCACTCAAGTGCATCAGTTTTGGAGCAATGTGTCTGGTTTCCCTTCAAAAAAAAAAAAAAAAGAAGAGTCTCCAGACAGACGAAATTCAATAGTGAAATTCATTTTGATATAAACTGGTGTTAACTGGGGGTAACCCCTCTGAAAGATGTCTTTTTGTGCCGGTGTAAAATTTAAAACCTGACCTGCACAGAGAACAGGATAAAGCTTTGTGGGGAGAGTCCTGGGAAAAGCGTAGCACTATCCCAGGACTCCTACATAAGCTGTCCTGCAAACATTTATCAAATACTTTCAAGCCAGCATACTGCACTAAACATCYTTAATTTATACTGAGCAGATTATCATAAAAGACATTGAGATAGTTTAAGTTGAGCTTGTATTTCTGATTGTGTCATAAGCAGTTACCTAGAGAAACAATGTTCCGACTTAAWTAGAGAATTCCTGCTCTACACATTGGCATAAATGACATTATAAAGGCACACCTCATTAAGACACCTTTAGGAGGAGGAATTAGATTTTTTTGTGCTTCAGCATGTCAAATTTCATCTCAGTCCAGCTTATAAACCATGACAAACCTGAAGATAATTGCAAGAAAATTTGGAAATGATCCTTAACAAAAGAGGTGAAAAAAAATAGTGTTTAGGTAGTCTTAAGTTTCAGRTAGTTGTTTTTATATGGCTTTCTTTTAAGAAAAAGATAGCACAAATGGTATCTGGGAGCCACAAAGCCTCCCCAGGAGCAAGTCCACTCTCTTGTCCCAAGCGCCACACTATCTACCCCAAGCAACCTCTACTCTACCCATCAGGGATATTTATTTCCCTTCTGGTCTTTTCCTTTCTCCAGCTGCAATTCAGCTGAATGGCTCAAAGTTGCTATTCGTTGCTCAGTAATAACTCAGCGCCTCCTGACTGACAACAAATACACTCCTAGCCACTTGTGCTAACGTGGGCATCCAACACAAACAGCTTCCAGAGCAACACAGGAGCATGGGAGGGATGTTGCTGCAGAGAAGTTTGACTCATCTGCTTTACACGTGGGAACAAAACACTTGCCAAGCTAACTCACATTGCACGGGTCCTCATAAAAACACCCTGCAGCCAGGAGAACTGGCGTTAGGACCTCGCTTTGAGGATGCCTGGAGAGCCTGCTCAGGGCTAAAGGAGAATTCAAAGGAAATCTCTGCTCCAAGCACTCACTATAACACCACTATACATTAAGAATTAAAATTTGCTTCCAGGAAAAGAATACACATATATAAATATGTGTGTGTATATATATATATATATATATACACACACACACACACCTGTCTCGAGAAGTCATCCCGTTCTGCCTGCAATGTTCAGCTTTAAGACATGGCTTTCATAAAGCAATTAGGAAAACTAAAAAAAAGTGTGTAGAGTGTTTGACAACAGTTTTTTTTTTATTATTTATTTTAAGAGGGGCTTGTATGAAGCATCAACCTTCCTCATCTCTGGCATACCTGAAAAATATGCATTTAAGAGCATTCACTTGTAGGCTTCAAGTTTTCAGCTGCMCTCTCTGGGCTACAGAGCAGACAGCATCACCACTAAGACAAGCAGGAGCTGCCTGTGAATGCTGCAAGGCCTAAACACCCAAAGCATCTTGTCAAGAGCTCAGTGCAATCCCTGCTGAAGGCACAGCAGYGGTCAAAATGTCTAATCAAACAATTGAATGCTGAGCAAATGAGAGAGAAAACACTGAAATTAGAATAACGTACTCGGATCAATATTACACTTTGGGAATGCAAAGAGCACTGAGCAGCCTAGCTGCAGAGAGATGAAGCTTCAGCTTCAATTTTTTACCCAGTCTGCAGAAAGGCACAACTTACAGAGGGGGGGAAAAAAGCATAAAGATTGCTTTAATTGTAAAATTGCTTGTTGGCCTCGTCACAGCAACGGTGTGAACCGGCGCAGGGAACAAGTGTTTTGGTGTGTGTCAGCACCTGCACAGCTGCTGAGCTCTAAATCCTATGGGCAGAACATTTTACAGCTTGAACCGGGTGGAACGGATGCTGGAGAGCAGCAGGGATACCAGGTTTGTCAGGAGAGCTGACTGCACACATGGCACGTCTGTAATTGCAATCTGGCCCCTGCTCCGAGCAATTCCCAGCCACCACTTAGGAGCAATATTTCTCCTCCTGTCCCTCTCCCTTGCTAAACCAGCTCCATAAAAGCTCCTCGGGTTGACTCGGCTCCCCTCAACATCGCATCCAGGGTGGGAATTGTGCACACCCGCACAGCTGGCAGGGCAACAGCCACCTCTCCACATCCTGGTGCCCACAGATTCCCACAAGGTGCTTGGAGGACAATTTTGGAAAGAGATATTTTGACCTGCCCAAGCTGCAGGGCTGTTCAGACCACATAAACCCTTGAGCCATCTTTTCCATTAAAAAAAAAAAAAACACACCAAAAAATTAAAGCACTTGCAGGGACTTTTGTCACCAGCTTCTCTTCCAGAGCCACTGCTCACATTTAAGGGAGAGATGGCTTGCAGGAAAGAGCATCTCATCACACTGCACTAGCACACCACGTGTGCTTATCTCTTAAGATATGGGATTTTTAGCACGGGCAACTTAACCCCTGGGTTTTTGAAAGAAAGGAAAGCCGAGGGCATCACAGCTCCCTCTGGCAGAGTCCTGCTAGCTCCAGGGATATGCTCAGATCCTACGGTACTCAGCGGGAGGCAGAGGTGTCTGCCGAACTGATCTCCTCACCACAAGAGCATCAAACGATACAACACACTGAACAAATCATTTTTGGATAACCAAAAAAAAAATGATACCTAGACTTAAAGATCCCTGCTTCCCTTCAGCCAATGCAATTCTAACCAAGAGAGAGGACATCTAGATTCATGTATTCTGCAACTTGATGTTATCATTATGCTTCTCCACATTAGCTTCTCTGCCCCTACCCTTTCCATACCTCCATGAGGAGGTAGGATTTCCTACCACTTCACTGCTTCAGATCACAGCCAGAGCTAAAACAGAAACTTGGAAAAGCTGAAGACATTTTGTAGGCAATGTCAGGAAAGCTTAAAGACTTAAAGTATTTAATGAGAAATAGATTTACCCAACAGAGAAAAAAAATAAAACAGGAAAACATAAGATAGAAAGCTGTTACCAACTGTAACATTTTGTATTTGAATTGCATCCCATTCACTATTTCCAGCTTTAGGAAACAAATTACTATACCAGCCAGCACAAAGCTGCAGCCATGCTGCAGACACTTAGACCCAAGAATTTCTACTGCTAACTTATTATAGAAGGGTTTTTTTTTTTTATTAATCTATTTTTTTCCCCATGAGGTAAATTGTTTTGTCAATGTTTTTATTTTTTAAACAAATACTACAATTCTGTACAGAAAGGAATCAATGTCTGCTGTAATGAGTTTCAGAATAGCAATCCCAATACCAAGAAGTAATTATGGTTTATTAGATTTGCTATTTTACTGGAAATGCCCACACTGATGATAAATTGTTAGACCACTCAGCCCAGATGCAAGACCACATTTTACATTAGAAAAAAATGACAAGTTCAGTTATACTAGTAGTGACATAACGTCATCTCCTCGCACTCAGCAGCACTCTCCTTCCATTGTAAGGGAGGAAATATCTGAAAGTTTTGCTTCTGTACAACTAATGACATAAATTAAGCTCTAAATTTTATTATTTGAAAGCTGAAAAGTCTTTTAATGATATACTTCCTCAATAACCATTTTAACTGTGTGACTATTGGACTTGTAGCCAAGGTACTGGCCTCACAAAGATACTCCCAAACCATTTCCATGGGTTATTTTTCTTCCAAATACAGCATTTGCATCAGTGAGAAGAACTGCAACACACTGGACTGTTCAAGAGCTATTTGTTTTGAGACAATTYGAACAAAATTGAAGTGACCACCATTTCCATGACTTGCAGGCGTTTCCTTTTCATAAAATTGTATTAGAAGGAAAGAATAGAAAATATAAAAAGGAATTAGGTTTATTCAAGCACTTTTTTGATGAGTAATGAGCTTTGAGTRGCCCTTTTCAGATGTACTCAGATTTATAAAGTTTGTAATGTAAATAGGCTCTATAATAGCACACACATTTAAAGCAAGCAGGCACAAGGAGACTGAGTATGGAACAGCAACCAGTGCTCTACACAAACTCATGGAGCAGCCTTGCCCAGTCAATGCACTGCTTTCTAGCACCCTGGGCACCAGAGCCATGCAAGCCCCATGGTTTTCCTACACCATTTGACCACTATGAGCCAGGAGATGAGTCCTGAGTCAGCCCCAAGTCACTATGTGCCACACACACACTGTGTTGTGTGTCACACAACATCCTCCCAGAAAAGATGCAGATTAAGCAATACCAGAAGGCTACAATTCAACATTTGCTCAGACATTTTGGGTCTTATATAAGAAAATCATATATTTTTTTTCCCCTCTTACCTCTGCCAAGGCTGGCTCGGCACAGCCAGTACATGATGCAGATGCTCTCACATCTCCATTGCTCAAAGCTCCTGCTTCTCTAACCTCTTTTCTTGCATATGGAGCCACATGCAAGTCTCACACCTAACAGATTCCTTAGCTCAGCCTCAACTGTCAACTCCCCAGGAATCCCAGAGCAAAAAAGCCTTCTACGGGCTGAGATGTGCTTATAAACTCCCCAGCCCTCCCTGTTTCTCCCAGTACCTGCAGCTGTGCTGCAGGAGGGGAGCTAATGGCCCAATTGGGAACAGCCCCAAGGGCAATCATCTCACCTGCTCCTTAGGTGTTACCAGGCTCATTAGGGACAATCAAGGAATAAAAGACCTAAACTAGTCACACCTTCAGGTACAGGCAAGAAATAAAGGTTGTTTTCTTAAACCCAGTCTCTCAAAAACCACATTTTGGAAATCACATTTCCACATTTGTGGAAATCACAAAATGACATAGCATAAACTAAAGAGGGAATAAAGCAAAGGAGCACTTTAAACCACAGGGCAGGGGAACAAGAGGAGGTGGTCACCTACAACCAGGTTCTAGCAAGGTCACTCTAGGAGTGCTCACTGATATATAGATATACCTTGCTGAGTTAACTCTCAGGGGGTGATAACAAGTGATAGCAGAGCTGACGGTCAGAATGAAGTGACCCAGAAGAGGTTAACAACTTTCCAGGCTGAGTTTAGATCCAAATGGAGATCTGTATCCAGAAGACAAAGTGTCATGCTATTCCCTGAGTCTTCATTCCAGTGGCAGTAACGTGATTTAGGGACCACAGGCTGCACAAGGAGAAACTTATCAGCTTGTTAAATCTCAGCTGAGATTGCACTTCTAGTTGTTTACCTATAACCCTTTGTTTTTAAATTTATAACTAACAGCTTGGTCTCAACTCTTTTTTAGTAAATCTCCTCCGTGTTTTGTCACGCAGGCTGCATGGGGCGAAGCAGGTTAGATGAGCCTGGCAAAGGAAGAGCACACCAATCTTCTCCRGAAAGAGTCAATCCAAGCAAAGCAATACGTGGGTCTGCAGACACTCCTGGACGGGCTGTTAAAAAAGGAAAGGTCTGGGGGGCCTTTGCCTGGGGTCCTGCTCACACAGGGAATTGYATCCCCTCAGCAGGACGGTCAGCTGCTCCAGGTGGCAGCTCCTGGTCTCCAGCTCTTCTGTTGTCTCTCGKGGGTCAATTATCTCCTCTCCACCAAAGCCACCAGTTGGGGGAGTTCCTGGAGCACCCAYGGATGTGAAGACTTAATCATGCTGATCATTTGTGCCAGCACAGCCCCAAGATCACCCTACTSTCTGATTACAACCACAGCACCAATCTGAGGCCAGATACCCAGGGAAAAGGCAGTGAATCACCAACCAGTACAAGAGGGATCATGGAGATCCAGGCCTCCCACAACCAGGAGCACGATGGAATCTCCTTGTCTTCCCACCCACTGCAGGGATACAACCCACCCTGCCGTCCCAGCCACCTCCTGCACCACCAGCCCAACACACCACACTGCAGGYACCCCCATCTCCACCAGTACCAGCGTGGGCGAGCCCTAGGTAGGCAAGGTACCTTTTGAAGATGCTGAAACAGTGGATATCTTATTGCAATAAATTTACTGAATAATTTAGAGCATGATTTGTTTCATACTTCTGCATCCCCTGCCACTAGAGACATACTGTTTAGGATGATCAACCCTTCTGTCTTGACAATATGTCCTTACTCACAGCACCTCAGGCTGCCKTTCTGGCATAACTCAGAATGGATGGGAGCTGGTGCAAGGAGCGTTTGCCTGGAAAACCTCCAAGGAATACACAAGTTTCAGTGCTTCGGGGGGTAGGAGCCCTTCRTCATAGCAAAAGCCCCAGTTGATTCCTAGGGAATTCAATGCTATTAAATAATGCACTTCCAAGAGCASAGGCAAGAAACAGCTATTGCCATAAACCAGTCAAATTTAATCAGGAACATTCATCAGAAGACAGTGATGGCCAGAACACTGAGATGTTTCTCTCTCAACACTCTGAGCTCAACAAACTTCTGCTGAATCTTCGGCATGGTTCCTGGAGCAGAATGGAGCTGAATTCTAGGCAGACCCTGCCAAGATCCTTCGATCTCTGGAAGATCTGCCACTGGGCAGATTTCCTTGGAAAACGGTTGTTATCCTTTTCCAAGCTTTATCTCCAGCCATTCCCAAACTTCCGTGTTTTTGCTATCCCATATTCAGGATAATTTGTTTCCAATCTTGCAAGTTAGGAAGGCCCACAAGTGCGGTCAGGTTCTTACGGGTTCCAAATGCTTGTGGAGGTGGAACTGAGACCAGAATGAGGCTTTCTTTGTTTATATTATTTTTATTTTAYTTTTTTTTCCTGAGATTTCCACTTGGTAGGTAATTTTGAATTACGTCTGCCTAACTTGGTCTTCAAATCCCAGCATAAACGTCCCAGAGTCTCCCTGGTTCAAATGGAAGAGAGACACGGARAAAGAAGAAAGCCCTGCTGTGCAATCCAATCCTTTTGCCCACTGTGCAGAGTCAAGGGAGAGCAGCAGATTAACCAGCTCACAACCCAAGAAGTGCTGATATGGGCTGTATTTTCATGGGATATTTATGACTTTATGATTTAATTTGAGAGCTCCTCCTCAAACCAGAGTGTTTTTGCGCTTAGCTAGTGCAGAAGAACTTCTTCAGTCTTCCCAGTGTCTAAGTCCAGCTTGCTAAAATTTAAGTCCAGTGCCCCTTGCTTTACCTGAAGTAGTCATGGGAACACTTTCTTTCTCTTTGCAAGGCATTTCCCAGCTCTGTTTGTGGACTAAGCTCATCCCTTGATCCCGTCTCCTCTGAGGCACAAACAGCACCTCGGTCTGTGCACATACATACATGAAAAGAGTTTCAATAGCACCAAAGGTGCCCACACCTCTCACTATGGATGGTATCAAGCACCAGCTGAGAGCAGCATGTAAAGACTACTTTAAACATTTTAAATGCCACAGTTCTCCCTTTTCATCATACTACAGCATTTTCTATTWTTTTTTTTTTTGGTGGAAGAGGAAAGGAGTTCAAGGATGATACTCATGGTTTCCTTCTCACAGCAGAACTTTTGGAAAATAACCAAGGTGACTCAAAGATCTTCYCTATAAGCATCTTTGGTAACCTACACTACAATTACTGTAACAAGTCCTGTTGTAATGGCATCGTTCTATTTCTTAAACATTGATAAAACAAGAACAACAAATATCTATATGTGCCTATACTGATACAAGTGTGTATGCATAGACACAGAGAATGAGAATAAATGGATAGACGCTTTAGATGTTGTGCTGAATGTTGTGCAGCTTTAGATGTGTGTTTAGATGTTGTGCAGCTGCTGAAATTTTACAAAGACTGAACGCTCGCTTACATAAATTGGATATAAAATAAGGTGAAAGCGACCGCTCGGTGGCATCAAGGGACATCCACCTGAAGGCCCTCATGAGAAATGGGGATGATGACAAGCTCGGGACACTTTGCAGCACCCAGACTTGCACCATAACCAATGCAAGCAAGTGCCACAGCCAGGAATATCCCCATACTAATGAAATCCTAAATTTCTTTATGAGCCCAAACGAGGCAGAAGGCGGCGCAGGGCGCAGGGAAGAGGGAAGCACTGGCTGGTTTCCAGCTGTGGCACAGACACATCCTTCCACCACTGAGCTGCTTCTGTGGGAAATTAGTCACACCTAAAACCTGGGAGGATTTTAGGAGGGTTTTGTCCATCTGTGACACCTCGACCCCTCCTGCAGAGAAACGTCAGGTCTGGGCTACTTCTCTATTAAGCCCAATAGTTTTTGCTGAACTGGAGACACCCACTCATGACAAGCAGCTCTGATTCGAAAGCATTAAGACACTGGGAATCAACTGCTCTGCTTGGTAATTTGTTCCAGCAATTAATCATCCTCACCACTCAAAACTAAACTGGATTTCTCCTTTGAATTTATCCGGCTTCGACTTTCACTCCTTTTAGGCTTTTTTGCCTCGAGCCACTTAACTCTACAGCAGCCGTTACCTTTTCCCCGTGGATTTACGTAAATACCATAATCGAGTCACCTCTTGGGGTCCTTTTTGGTAATATAAGCAATTTAAACTCTTTAAGGCTGTCCCTTCTAGTTTTTTTCTGCTATATCCCCACTGGTGCTCTACACCATCCTTTTTTAAAACAGATCAGCCTTCCTACTTTATGTATTTAAATGCATTTTGCCCAAATAGGCAGATCACTTGGCAAGCAAGGCTTGGCTTTAGTGGCCTTCCCCTTCTTCAAGCAACTTTTGGCGTCTCCATGACTTTCACTACTCAACAGATGACCTTGGGGGTTCCCTGTTTTGGGGCCACAAGTCGCCTCCTTGCAGCGCTGCCTGCACTTCCCCTCTAGCTACTGTGTCTAGCTCCTTATTTCCCTGCGTGCTGGCTGCTTTCCATGCTTTAGGAATTGCTTTGGATGCAAATAAACCCATGTGTGGCTTCCATGCAGGATTTTAGAAGTTACTAGAAGATGGGAAGTCACGTATGACAGATTTGAGCTGGTGATTAACATAGTTGTTTTCAAGGGGGCTGGTTTTCTCTGTTTCTTACCCCAGCAAGGGAGTCAGCGCCCAAAGCTGCAGCATTTTCCTGATATTTCTAGACTAGGTCTAGAAATTTCCTAGATATTTCTAGCCAGGTCTACCTTGCTCTACCGGCTGGGATAGCAGGAACCTGCAGTATCATGAAKGAGGGAAAGCATGGAAAAAGCAAAYACACCACATTTATTACCCCACGTTTATTACAACAGGGATGCTATTGCAGACAGTGTGCATTGCTTTCGTACAGACTTATAGCTCAGATGAGCCGACACTCTGGAGCTCATCGTGCAACCCCAAAGACACTGTATTTGCATGTACTTCACATTCTATAAATAAAAAACTGGAAGTGTCAGAGAAGCATTTAAGAACACTCTGTTATTAAGCAGTTACTAGCAGATCTCATGGGTTTCAGCCATTCATCTTCTCTAGGCTACCATGAATGCTATGAGTGCTGAAAACTGAAGCAAAAGGAAAGAAGAAGTAGATAGAAATGTTAGCATGAGATCTTTGTGTCTTCRAGATTATTTCCTACCTGGAGAGAGGCCCAGGCTGGCAGG